CAAAAAGTGGTATCCCAAATTTAGGTTTGCAGGAACTGAAGGAAGCACAGAAGAAAGACCATTCACTTTGGGACAGTGCCTAGAAGAAAGTCTAGCACAAAACAAAGTGGAAAGATACTTATAGAATAGAGGATCAGAAGAGAGTTCTATACCGAATCCATCAAGGCAATTATACTGGGGAAGTTTAACACATCATAGCACCAACAGAATACTGAACTCAAGTGATGAAGTTGGTTCATGAATCAATTGTTGGAGGACACATAGGAACAAAAAATGGCAGGTAGAATCACCAGTAATTTCACCCTTAAAATAAGATTTTCACCCTTCGAGTTACCGTATGGAAGAATAGTACGAGGTCTAATGCAAATATTGAAAAAGCTATGGACAGGAGAAGAAGAGTCAGAAGTAAGGAACACATACCAGTATGTTAGACCTCAGAAACTGACTTGAGGAAACCTGTCAACTTCCTTGACAGAGTTTGTATGCAGCTTAAGGTTGTCAGAAGCATTTTTATGACAAGAAGACCAAGGATTGACATTTTAAAGTTGTTGTGGTCTTAGTTCTGTTACCCACAAACCACAACAAACTCACCCTGCAATGGAAATGACCTTTTGAAGTACAGGAAATACTCAACAGAATGGACTACAAGGTGAATGTGAATGGAAAGACTAAAATCTACCATGCCAATCTGTTGAAGAAGTATTTTGGGAGAGAAGACCTAATGGGTACAGTGATTGATGTACAAATGGACATGGCAGGTGTGGCCATCATAGATGCAGAACCAGAAGATATCGACTTTATCTTAGAAGATAAGAAACTACTAAGCCTAAGGGAACTGTGTAGAGATGAGGCGTACAAGGACGTGAACATGAGTGTCAAACTGACTGATAGGAAGGGGAACAAAATGTATTGTGTCAGCATACAGACAGATTAGGAAATACAGACCTCAGACACCACAAGGTTAAGAAGAAGATGAGGGATCCTGTTAAAGAGAAGCCCTACTGGAAATCCTATGTTAGGAGAGACAGATAAAGGAACTGCAAGTGTTGGAGCAGAATTTGTATATGAACTAAGAACAGTCTCTGTATATATAGTAAATATTGTAAACATTTTATCTTGAAGAGGGTTTATGTCATGATATAAAAGACTGTTTGGTTTAAATATTAGTGATTAATCTATATTTGAGAGTGAATATTTTATTATTTTTAAGGTTTGTTATAATAATAGTTAAAAGCAGGCGATTGTAGAAAGCTTTGTTAATAACTAATTGGTGTCGAGAATGTGGAAAATGGCCAGACGACTATGTAATAAAGACATAAATAGCGTGAGACGAGCGGGAAGACAGATAACAATAGACAGATAATAGCAAAAGAGAATATAGCTGTGTGAAGTTAAGTTCCGTAGATATAATAGGCCTAACGACTGACATAGGCCTAACGTTTAATATGTTAGAGTGAAACTAACAGTAACAGTATAAAAAAATATAAGAAGGATAATTTTATTCCGTCAAAGCGTGGATCTAAAGCAATTGAATCTGCCTGGGTACACTTTGACAAAAGGAACAGAGGATCTTCAGAAGAAAGAAGACCAAACGAATTAGGTAACTTGCACTACAACAGTAAGTGAATCACATGCAGAATACTAGTACAATATTAATATAGAGAAGATAGTTCGACTTGTCAACTGAAATTCTAAAGTAATTGAATAGGCCTATGTGAACTTTGACAAGAAAAAGAGAACTATATATAAATAGTGTGTATGATGTGCCTGTAATCTCTTTAGTGTGAAGACTTTGTTGTACATACCTTT